TTGCGCCAGAAGCATTTAGAGGTATGCCACTTCAAAATCCGATTAAGATTAGTTGAGTTATGGAGTTTTGAACTTCAACCTTGGGTCATTTCTTAACTTTGTTGAATTTCTACACATCATCACATCAAAAAAATTACAAAAATATTTCAAAAAAATAAATTTTTAAATTTGAATGCAGTTTTTTAGAGAATTGCGCCAGAAACATTTAGAGGTATGCCACTTCAAAATCCGATTAAGATTAGTTGAGTTATGGAGTTTTGAACTTCAACCTTGGGTCATTTCTTAACTTTGTTGAATTTCTATACATCATCTCATCAAAAAAATTACAAAAATATTTCAAAAAAATAAATTTTTAAATTTGAATGCAGTTTTTTAGAGAATTGCGCCAGAAACATTTAGAGGTATGCCACTTCAAAATCCGATTAGTTAAGTTGAGTTATGGAGTTTTGAACTTCAGCCTTGGGTAATTTCTTAACTTTGTTGAATTTCTACACATCATCACATCAAAAAAATTACAAAAATATTTCAAAAAAATAAATTTTTAAATTTGAATGCAGTTTTTTAGAGAATTACGCCAGAAACATTTAGAGGTATGCCACTTCAAAATCCGATTAAGATTAGTTGAGTTATGGAGTTTTGAACTTCAACCTTGGGTCATTTCTTAACTTTGTTGAATTTCTACACATCATCACATCAAAAAAATTACAAAAATATTTCAAAAAAATAAATTTTTAAATTTGAATGCAGTTTTTTAGAGAATTGCGCCAGAAACATTTAGAGGTATGCCACTTCAAAATCCGATTAGTTAAGTTGAGTTATGGAGTTTTGAACTTCAGCCTTGGGTAATTTCTTAACTTTGTTGAATTTCTACACATCATCACATCAAAAAAATTACAAAAATATTTCAAAAAAATAAATTTTTAAATTTGAATGCAGTTTTTTAGAGAATTACGCCAGAAACATTTAGAGGTATGCCACTTCAAAATCCGATTAGTTAAGTTGAGTTATGGAGTTTTGAACTTCAGCCTTGGGTAATTTCTTAACTTTGTTGAATTTCTACACATCATCACATCAAAAAAATTACAAAAATATTTCAAAAAAATAAATTTTTAAATTTGAATGCAGTTTTTTAGAGAATTACGCCAGAAACATTTAGAGGTATGCCACTTCAAAATCCGATTAAGATTAGTTGAGTTATGGAGTTTTGAACTTCAACCTTGGGTCATTTCTTAACTTTGTTGAATTTCTACACATCATCACATCAAAAAAATTACAAAAATATATTTTAAAAAAAATAAATTTTTAAATTTGAATGCAGTTTTTTAGAGAATTGCGCCAGAAGCATTTAGAGGTATGCCACTTCAAAATCCGATTAAGATTAGTTGAGTTATGGAGTTTTGAACTTCAACCTTGGGTCATTTCTTAACTTTGTTGAATTTCTACACATCATCACATCAAAAAAATTACAAAAATATTTCAAAAAAATAAATTTTTAAATTTGAATGCAGTTTTTTAGAGAATTGCGCCAGAAACATTTAGAGGTATGCCACTTCAAAATCCGATTAAGTTAAGTTGAGTTATGGAGTTTTGAACTTCAGCCTTGGGTCATTTCTTAACTTTGTTGAATTTCTACACATCATCACATCAAAAAAATTACAAAAATATTTCAAAAAAATAAATTTTTAAATTTGAATGCAGTTTTTTAGAGAATTACGCCAGAAACATTTAGAGGTATGCCACTTCAAAATCCAATTAAGATTAGTTGAGTTATGGAGTTTTGAACTTCAGCCTTGGGACATTTCTTAACTTTGTTGAATTTCTACACATCATCACATCAAAAAAATTACAAAAATATTTCAAAAAAATAAATTTTTAAATTTGAATGCAGTTTTTAAGAGAATTGCGCCAGAAACATTTAGAGGTATGCCTCTTCAAAATCCGATTATTATAAGTTGCTCTATGTCTCTGGAAGCAGCGTGCTTAATCTCAACATTCTAGCTTTTGTAGTTCCTGGGATCGAGGCTTTCATACGGACAAACGGACATGTCTGCCGACTCGGCTATTGATCCTGATCAAGAATATATATATACTTTATATAGTTGGTTTCCTTCTGCCTGTTACATACTTCCCAACGAATCTAGTATACCCTTTTACTCTAAGGAGTAACGGGTATAATAAAATTGTCACAAGAAATTAATGAGCGCGTGAGACTTGTGTAAGGATTAGTAAATTTTTATACTGTTTATTCAGAAAGTTCTCTTAGCAAGAAATTGCCCTGTGAACAGCGTTCGGAATTGTGAATACTGTAAGTATGTTCATGTCATCATAAATCTCCCTGTAAATTCTGGAGGATGTGTCGCTCGATGGGAGCCAATTTGCTGCCATTTTTAATTATGACCCAATGCAAGCCGATGGAAATTACGGCCAACGAATGCACGCGCCCGAAATGAGTGCAAAACGACAGCAGGACAGCAAGTCCGAAAAAATGCGGCTAACATGCAAATGAGCACTTTGAGTACACACACACGCATACACACCCATCGATTGGAAATGTGTGAAAATGATGAAGCATTTGGATTTTTCCGTTTTCTGGGCCGATGATGATCTAAAATTATAACGCACGACTCATACGCGGGAGACGGGCAAAGTCGGCGTTTCGAATATACGAGTATAGAACGCCCACGCTGCGAAATTTTCACACACTCGACTCCGAATTCGGATATATTTTTGGAAAATTCTTGAACAAATTCGTCGGAGAACGCTCTCTCGCGCTTTAAAAGCCGAATACGCCCCGTTGGCTGGCATCAGTGTTAGCTTGTCAGAGCTTTAGTGAAGATCCCACAGGACCCGAACCCAAAACCAAGAATCAAACATGTCTCTTGAGCGTGCCGTTCGTGCCAAGGTGAATACCCAATCAGTGAAGGAATAAGATCCTTACGAGAATATACATATACTTGTATACACGACAATCGGTGAAAATCTAACAGTGATCTCTAGCAATGAGTTGTGTGAAATGTTGTGCCTAAACTATGCATATTTTTCTCATTCCTGAATCGATTCATCTAGATTGCCGGCAAGCGCAATCCCGAGATGGACAAGGAGGCCCAGGAGTGGATTGAGGCCATCATTGCCGAGAAGTTCCCCGCCGGCCAGTCCTACGAGGATGTGCTCAAGGACGGCCAGGTGCTGTGCAAGCTGATCAACGTGCTGTCGCCCAATGCCGTGGCCAAGGTCAACTCCTCGGGCGGCCAGTTCAAGTTCATGGAGAACATCAACAACTTCCAGAAGGCCTTGAAGGAGTACGGTGTGCCCGACATCGATGTCTTCCAGACCGTCGATCTGTACGAGAAGAAGGATATTGCCAACGTGACCAACACCATCTTCGCCTTGGGCCGTGCTGTAAGTTCAAAAGTTCGCCTTCTGTGTTACTGTGATCCAGGCTAACCTCTGATTCGCGACCATTGCAGACCTACAAGCACGCCGACTTCAAGGGCCCCTTCCTGGGCCCCAAGCCCGCCGATGAGTGCAAGCGCGACTTCACCGAGGAGCAGCTGAAGGCCGGCCAGACCATCGTGGGTCTGCAGGCCGGCTCCAACAAGGGAGCCACCCAGGCTGGCCAGAACCTCGGCGCCGGCCGCAAGATCCTGCTCGGCAAGTAAGCGCCAGGATGGCCAGGATTCCCCACACCCTACCCTTTTCTACACATATGCTAAGTGAACACACCCATATATGATGATGTATTTTGTATGATGAACAACATGAACACAATGCTATTCCTCACCAAAGCAAAACTCAACACCAAAGAACACACTCACACAAAACAACACATAAAAGCAACGCAAAGGCTTGTCGCCTTATATTAAGTATACGCCTAAGTTAATCTATTTATGAGTACAATAAAGTAATTCAAAATCCCAGTCTTCCACTTTCCGATCACCTCTATAACCTTGAGCTCTCTACGTTCTTGCTGCTGTTGCTTGTGTGGGTGTATAGACTTTATTTATCTGCCTATGGTGCGTTCTAAAATTGAATTTCATACGTATAGCCATATAGCCATATATATATACATATATATATCATCGTATCAACGTTATAAGCCAAACATAAACACACTTCGATGAGTGTGTGCGATGTGAAAAATTCCACCGAAGCGTGTCGAGGTCGAAGCATCAGCGTTGGGCAGACTTATTATCAAGATGGGCATCCATCCACTGACTACCTATGTGTACTGTATATGTAGGCGAAAGGAATGCCGAAACTCACCTGTGCGAGGCGTGAAATTGTTTACATACATTATGTATTGCAGGTGCAACTTTGATGGTGCCAAAAATGAAAAACCAGACATCTCCCTGCGAATATTTCACGCCTTCAGCTGGCACCTTTCTAATTTCTTCATTTATTACAGTTCGTCAGTTGTGGCCTATTATGCCGAATGAAAAGGCTGGCAGAATGTGGAAATATTTTGGATTCATTTTAAATGCGATGTATTTCAGAAATACGCGTATGTTTTAGATCGCAGTATTCATTCAGCATCGATTTTATATTTGCGGGGAACTTTCACATTAGTTTTAAATGACGCAGTCCTCAAATGAAATATTTGCCTCATTCGTTTTGGCTAATTGAAGTGTACTCAGGTCGTGTGTATTCTAAACTCAAATAGTGCTCAGAAAAGATGATTAAGAATAAAGCGTGCCAATTTCCGAATTGGTATATTTAGAATTTTGAAAATTTCCAACAATTGGTTGCTAGAAATATTAATGAGAACAACCAGGCGGTATTTCCCCTTGGTTTCATTTTGTTGAACATATATATGGGTGGAATAAACAAAGCAGGCAAATAAATAACAAACTTGACACTGAAAATATGGGGGATATATATAAATTCATAATGGTTCATTAAGAGATTTTCTCTACCGATTCAGGGTTATTATTGATGCAAAAGCTTACGAGTAGGAAGTCTTGAATTTTCCATTCTTTATAGCATAATTAAACGACAAATACGAAATGATTTTTGTGAAAAAATGTATTTTGCTTAAAAGTTTAGATAGTCCTATTGAATTATCGAGTGTTTCTTTGTAGGTGCCAGTATACTATGCAGGTTATTGGTAAGTGATTTCAGGGTTTCCCGCAGGGTCGAGACCGCTTTCTCCTTTTCCCAAATATAGGCGACAGTTCGATCGTAGTCATACATCAATGCGGGCATAGCCAGGATACCACCCTGGATTGTCAGCTCTTTCATCCGCCTCCTAATGGCTTTGTGTTCCAATTTCGCGCGGCACAACACGGATTTCAGATTATTCCTCAACTGCTGCTTCTCTAGCAGCTTATATTCAAGCTGGTGAATCTTGTTCTTCAACTCATGGGACCTCTCTCGATTGTGCTTAGTTATATGCAGATCGGTGTGGTATAGTCTGCGCTGTCTTTTCAGTTCAATATTTCGCTCTGATGAAGTTGGTAAATATAAACATAGGATCAAATCGAAATAACAAATTTGTTCGTAAAACTATACCTTCGATCTTCTTTTCGAGCCCGAACATCTTGTTTTGCACGGAAATAAAGTCAGTCATGCTCACACCGTCGCAAACAGTTTCTACATCTCTTATTTTCTAGAAGAAGATGGTGCGAATGCAAATACTCGTGTTTAAAAAATATCAAAATTTTGCAAACAATTCTAGTGGTAGAAAATAGTGAACAACTTGACGGCTTACGTGGCGATTTGGGATGCATATGGTATATAAATATTGTGGACCACTTAATGGACAACAAAGAGCTCAATATGGTGAACATTGGAATATCCTTAAGTGGATAACATGGCGAACAACATGGCGGACAACATGGCGGACAACATGGTGGATAACATGGCGGGTAACATGGCGGGTAACATGGCGAACATAATGGCTTATAACATAGCGGATAACATGGCGGATAACATGCCGATAACATTGCGGATATCATTGAAGATAACATGGCGTTTAACATGCGGACAACATGCGGACAACATGCGGACAACATGCGGACCACATGGGGAATAACATAGCACATAACATGGCGGATATCATTGAGGATAACATGGCGTATAACATGGCGGATAACATGGCGAACAACATGGCGGATAACACTGCGGACAACATGCGGACAACATGGGGAATAACATAGCACATAACATGGCGGATAACATGGTGGACAACATAGCGGATGACATTGCGGACAACATGGCGACAACATGTAGGAAAATACGGCGGAAACAACGCGATCAACGTCGTGGACAACTTTTTGGACAACAGGGCATCAGTGGATACCTACAGCTAGGATGCGACCCAAGGTGTGCTTCTGCGACATGAGCGACAGGCGGGCATCGCTTATTTGGTTGCGATGGTCGGCCATTAGGCGGAGTTCGCGGGCAACTAAGCGCTTGAGGAAGTCGGTCTCGGCGTCCGGGCGAACCAGGACTTGCTTCAACGTCTGCTCGAGATGGTGCTCCGTGCTGAGAACGATGTTCATGGCGTTGGAGAGGTCCAAAAACGCAGTGCTCATTAGAATGCCATACTTCTCCTTTACCCTGGCGAGGCGCTCTTGGCCATAGGACAGATAGCACAGGGCGTGATCAAGGCGACGGGAGTAAGTCTTCTCGGCGTCCTGGGCTAGACGGTCAAAGCATCGAAAGTTCTTGGTGCGCCGGAAGTACTCTATTATCTGCTCCTCCAGCTGCTTGTTATGATCTTTCACAATAATGTAATCGTGCACCTCTTTCTGCAGCGCGTCCAGCAGCTTCTCCTTGTCCAGTCGCACCCGAATATATTCCTCAGTACCCCGATGCTCTTTCACGATTACCCTTTGAATCAAGTGGCTTATAAAATCATAAACAATCTGGCGTGTTTCTACAACCTTCGGATTTTCTGTCAATTCGATTTGGCCCGTAACGACTTGCTCCGTTGTGACTGGAAACAACTGTTCGAAGTCCATGTAAGGTTGGTCTTCCTTTTCCGTGGGTTCTGTTTTTGGACTGGGCGGCAATGACTCGCAAAGCGATTCAGACTCCGTCAATTGCTCAATTGCAGTAGTACGGGAATCACTGGGGGCCTTGGTGGACTCATCTTCCGCTCCCTCGGAATCGACACTTATGCTGCCATCGGTTGTGATACGCTTAGCATGTATTGACTTCACAGACTGGCTAGACTTTCCCGGAACAAGCGGATCACTTGACAGCGATATATCCGACAGACTGGGCACCAGCATTAAAGACTTAACTGCCACTTGCATGGGATCTAAGCTCTGGGATTTCTGCGTCACTGGTGCTTCCGAATCAGATTCCGATGGGGTTTCGATGGAATCGAGCATGTCCTCCTCCTCAGCTTCAACTGCGCCCACAGTGGCTGCTGGGGCTGCAGCATCCGCCTGCCGGGTGTCACTGTCGACAGCATCATCCAGATTGGACACTGGCGATGTTTCATCCCACTCCTCCACCTGTAAGCTGAACATCGGTCTTTGGAAACTGCCTTGTGACTTGTCCTGTTCGCCGGCCAGCTTCTTTTGCGCCTCCTCCGCGTCGCGCTCCTTTAGTCGACTCATGATCTCCTTTAAAAGCCCCTTCCTTTCCTCCTTCCTTATGATCTTCAACCTCTCTTCACTCTTTTCAGTTGTTGAGATAGATACCACTGATACCTGGGCCGAATGCGACTTATTAATGTCTGCAGAACCTCTCGGGAGATCTTCCTCCGCCAAATCCGACTCGTTTTCCTCTAAGAAATCAATCTGAGGTTCTTCATTTATCTCTGTTTCCATCGTGTATGTTTATTCTTCACTTCTTATTTCGTTTTGCATACGCTTTTTGTATTTTTATTTTTTTATATTTGTTTTAGGGTGCTTTTGCTGTTTTTTTGTATTATATTTTAGTGTTTCTGTTTAGAGTTGTTGTGTACTCGTGTACATCTGTTTTGTGATTTTGCCCTAGGCTTATATTGACAGTTTTTTCATAGGGGCAGATGTGTGGAAGGCTACACTTTACCCTAAACGAGTTATGCATTCGTATTAATGAGGCTAAAAACCATGCGCCATTTCCTATAAAAATGATAAAGTTGAGGCCCTTTAATTCAATAAAATCAGCGAGCGTTTTTGTGATAAATTGCACTGTTTAATCAATTTGTCTGTTCTTAAATCCCTACATACTCCTCCCCGCTACTAGGCTGATCCGACGCTGGAGTGCCTTCATGGTTTCCTTGAGCTTGGCAACCGTTTCCCGCTTCTCCTTCACTCGCTCCACCGTGTTATCGAAGTCATACATCAGCGCTGGCATGGACAGGATGCCGCCCTGGAAGGTCAGGTCCTTTGACTGCTGACGCATCTTCTTGCGCTCCATTTTCACATCGTAGAGGCGTCTGCGCAGGGTTCTCTGATTTTTGATGGCGTTGTGCAGCAGTAATTTCTTTAGCTCAAATTTTTCCCCCAGGGCCAGCGCCTTTTCCCGATTGTGTCGGGTTAGGTGAACGTCCATGAGGAACTGGGTTCGCATCTTCTTCAGTTCGATGTTGCGCTCTGCGGGTAATGGGCTCATGAACCCTTGAATTTTGTGGGGCAATGATTGGGCTTACCCTCGATCTTCTTTTGCAGGGCAAGCACATCATTTTGCACGGCCAAAAAGTCCTTGATGTTCAAGGTCTCACTTAGTGTGTCCAGCTCTTTGATTTTCTGCCAGAGTCAGGGTAGAATTTGTAAATTTGTAAATTAGTAAAACACATATGCTGCAGCACACTTACACCAATTATGTGACCCAAGGTGTGCTTTCTGGTGATCAGGAACAGCCGGGTGTCGCTGATCTCGTTCCGCTTGGCAGTCATTAGTCTCAGTTCGCGGTCGACCAGACGTCGCAGATGATCGGAGTCGGCCCGTTCCAGGTGCTTCCGGAACAGGTGCTCCAAGCGTTGCTCAGTGATCGAGGCGACACTCTGGGCGGAGTGGAGATCCAGGAACACTCTGTTCATCTGGATGGCGTGCTTGTGCTTGGCCACGTCCAGCCGATACTTCAGATTGTCCAGCAGGGCCAGTGCCTGCATGTATCGGGCGTGGAATCGCTTTTCATGTTCCTGCGAGAGCGGAACGAAGACCCGGACATTGCGATTGCGTTTGAAATACTCTATCAGTCGATTGCCCACCATTTCGTTGGTGGAATTCTCAAACAAGTATGAATTGACGACGTTTTCAAGCCGGTCCAATAGCTTATTCTTGTCCAACTTGGACCGGATTGCGTTCTGCTTGTTGTGGATGTCCGATATATTGGCGGTCGCCTCGAAAAGATCGTACAGTAGTTCCTTGACCACCGCCCTAATCTCGAGCGCATGCAAAATGGTCAGGTCCTCTTGGACCTCGGGAACGGTGAAGGCCACCTTCGACAAGTTGCTGAATTCCTCCATAGTCACTTGCTTTTCTGTGGTAGTACTTATCACTGGTGGTTCATTGAACTCGGGGATGTCGGAGATATCGAGGGAGCCGACCTCACTTTCTGAAGCCGCATCCTCAGCCTGGTGCTCCTTGTCCATGTCTCCAAGCGATTCCGACGCCGAGCTGGAACCGGAGTCCATGTTCGACGTGGGATCCACAAAGAAGCCACTCTCATCCTGGACGCTTATCCGCGAATTAGCCCCCGTTGACCGTGCAGATGGGTCGTGCTCCTCCGATATGTCCGACAGACTGGGCACATCGAAATACCTCAGAAAGTTGGTTTTCAACTGGACGGAATCCGGATCTCTTTCGGTCTTCAACGTTCTCGTCGATACAATGCTCATGCCGGTCAAACTCATCGTAATATCAATGTCGTCCAACTTCACATCCGTTTGGAATATGTTTCTATCAACGGGGCCGTCTGAGAAGCCATAGGTCGGGAATAGGCTCACCATTTTGGGTGCCTGGAACGGATCGTCTTCTGACTCGTCGTTGGTACTGGACTCCGAGTCCCCATCGGCTCCATCGGCCCCATCGGTGGGTTCATCAAGGTTGGCTAGCGGTTCCTGCTCCTCCTCCACCTCAATATCCCTGACCTCTTCCACATATCCCTCTATAAAACTAACTGTCTCCTCAAATTCCGGAGGAGCAAAGCGAGTGGTTGCGAAATTCTTCAAACGCTCCCTGCGCTCCTTCTTCAGCCTCCGTTTCTTTTCTTCTGGCGATAGGTCATCCGAGCCCTCCGTTTGCTGCGTTTCCACACCAAGCTCAGTTGTTCCACTAGCTACGTGTTCGGTGGCTCCCGTTTCCTGCCCCTCCTCCGTCGCCTCCAGCGCGATGATTGGGCCAGACTCGTTCTGTGGCTTCTCCTCCCGCGGCTCATCGCCAAGTGGTGGGCTGCGCTCCTCTGGCCTGGAGATCCCTTCGGGCTCAGCCGTTGTTTCTGGTAGCACAACCTCTGGAACAGTGTCTACCTCGGATTTTTCTCCTGCCTCGATGGCCTCCACCGCGTGCAAGACTTCTTCCGTGGGGGCAGGATCTTGGGACATTTTTGGTGTTTATGTGTGTTTGTTTTTAGTGTTTTTTGGTTTTTTTTATGATTTTTTTGGTCGTTTCTTTTGTGTGTATTTTCTGTGTTGTGGGTGGCCTGTGGGTGTGTTGTGTTTTTGGGTTTCTTTGTCAATGTGACAAAAAACTCAAGCGAAATAATAAGTAACAGATAAGGGATAAGATCTAAATATGGAAATTACCAAATACTTTTTGCAAAGCCGTTTCACTAAAAGTTGCTTTAAAAAAACGGGTATACTTTTAGGCTTGCGTGCTAATAATATATCATTAGCTAAGTGTTTTTGAGCAATTAACAGATTGAATTGAAAAGATATGACCAAATATTTGTGTAGGCCTAGTGCTAAATACAAGAGTGATTTTTTTTCTTTTTAATAAGTACAAATCCATTACCAAACTTTGCGTGGCACGAAGCCGAATAAAATCTTCCCGACTTTAAGCACCATCTGGGTTCCAATTGGAGGTCCTAAGTGAATCTTGCGAAAGCTTTAAAGTTGATTGATCGTTGGCCATTGAGTGCTGTTGGTTTTTTTTGTGCGGCTGCGGTAAACTTTATGACATTGATAAATTTTTAATAAATATGACAAAATGTTGGTGCTTTAATTCACTGCCATTTTGGGCAGCGGCAGCGGCAGCAGGCAGCAGGTGCCTGCCAGGATTTACATAAAAGTGCTGCAGTGGTGGAGAGTGTAATTTGCATGGAAGCACTGCAGCACTTGGAATGGATTTCGGGCCTTAATACTTTCCGTTTGATTGTCTGGGCGTGGAAATTGATTCAGCACAATGCCAAATTGCCTTAAATTATGCATGAGCCTGCGACTTTGCGCTCCCAATCCACTGCTTTCCCTTTGATGTTGCAAGGGGCATCTGGGAATCATATTCAATAAGCCGGATCCACAGCAAGAGGGCAAATAACTTTTTATTTTATGACAGACGCAATGGGCCAATCCCCTTTGATGGCTGTTAAATAAATTTGTTTTCGATGTTATTTAAGACGCTGCCACGGCCGCGCCTTCAGGTGAATAATACCCAACATTCTGATGGATATTTAATAGTCTGGTAAACACCGGTGACACTATAATTGCTCCTACTGGACACTCATCGGTGGACACATGTGGCCTACTGGTGGGCCTACTTTCCAACCGGCTCACGTAATCAGCGGAACCGAAAGGGAATCCTTTTGCTATTTATCATTCCGTCCGAAGCTTTTTGGGAATCCTTTCCCTTTTATTTTTTTTGTTCTTCCGTTCTGTTTGTCAGCCTTAAGTGGCATTTTCGGCTTAGGCGTCTGTAGTATCCTACAGATACTTAGGAGAACTCTTGAACTTGACTTTCCCTCAACGGAACGCTTCAATTACGCTGGCACGTTGCGCCGGCAAAATTGTAATTTACGAGTGTTTTGCTACACAGCGCGGGAAAAGATAGATAGCCTTTAGATACTAAAACCCAGCAGATTAAGAAAATCCTAAGTATTTTATGGTAAAAGTTTTGTTTTACAATTTTGATGTTATTATCCTGCTAAACTTATACGAAAGAAGAACTAGACAAGCGCTGAAATCTAAATTTTTTGATTTGACGGAATTCGCTGGAATTAATATATTTATATATATATAATCAATTTATTTTAATAGTATTTCCCAGAAATACTCCCAGGACAAATGAAATTGTTTTCTCTCAATCATGACCATCCTGGTACATTAGTCAACTGCTTCATTATCATTATCACCATCCTTATCACGACAGCAGTCGTCAAAGTAGCCAGATTTCAGTTTCATGTTAATTTACGTTTTTAGATTGATGATGTACTCATGATAACTAAAAATAAAGTTTACATTCTGATAACGATCTGTAAAGCGCTGTGTTAACCAACATATTGGTTATAGAATATTTTAAGCGCTGAAAGCTTCATTTTTTGATTTGACGGAATTCGCTGGAATAAGTATAATTAATTATATAGTCAATTTCTTTTTACGGCATTTCCCAGAAATAATGTAGCTTAATGATTTCATGGTTTTTTCGAAACGGTGCTAGGAGATTAGAAGCCCAATTTATGTGGGCTATTAAAAAATAAATCTGGGTTTCAGCGCAAATCATTTAAAGATTAGATGACTTCACATATATAATATTTAATTTTTGAATGTATGGAGTTTGTTTTTTAATACAATTTATATGCTAGCAAAACAACAAGAATCCATTCAAAAATTGTAGTGTTTAAGTTTATTTAAATATTTAATACCACCAATTATGTAATGGTCATTAGTGGGACAGCTAAGAAAACCTCTCCAGTGACTGCGCAACGATTTCGATGGTAAAGCCAACCCTTTGTTTGCTGTGTACTCGGACTACACTCACTCATCTTTGCTCTTCTGTTTTGAAAAGCATCAATAATTACAAATTGCGCGTCTGGGCTGATCTGGGCTGATCCGTGGGCTTATCAGGGCGATTTCGCCTGCCTTACTGGGGCAGCTCGATAGTGCATCGCGTTCCACAGCCTCTCAATTTGTTGTCATGAATTATGCAAGTAAGTCTGGATTTCTGGACTAGCAATTGGCGCAAACTCGGAAATTGCGCAGTGCCGCGGAAACTGTAAATGAGAAAGAGTGTTTCAATACTCGAGTACAATGCAATAAGCATTTAAACATACGTATTTGATGGAGGCTTTAATTACATTTGCACCCGTAATCATGAAATCTGGACAGGAACGAACTTTTGAGGTTTCTTGGGAAATCATTCCCGTCGGTCGCAGTCAGTTTGCAAAATAAGGTCTTGGCGCAAAGTGTGCTCAGAGGAATACAGCAGAGCTTACATACCTTAAGGATATACCACAAGGACTAGATCAATGCAGCAATCCATGTTGCTACTGGCTGTGACAGCCATCCTGCTCTGCGCTGCAGTGGCTCTGCCCATAGAAATGTCCAAATCCGAGGAGGATTGGCTGGAGCAGATGCTGACGGAGAGCGAAGACAGCTATGAGCTGCCGGACCTGGGCGAGAGCACCGGAAACCACATCAGTAAACGATCTGCCAAGGATGCCAGCAGCTCCTCTGAGGAGCATAAGGGCCAGCTCAAGGACAAGGCGGACAGTTCCGGGGCCTCCTCCTCCGAGGAGCAGACAACAGCACTTGCGCAAGAAGAAACTACTACGGAAGTAGCCGCTAGGAAACGCAGATCCATTTGCCAAGCACTGATGGAATTGGATACTAAGACCTACGACACTGTCAATAACTTGTGTAGGCCAAGGGAGTCTAGAAGAAGGCGCCAGGCTACCGAAAGCAAGTTCGGGGATCAGAAGGGCAGCGAGGAGCCGGCCCTGGATGCCCAGGCGGAGAAGGAGCTGGATGAGGAGATGGCGCAGGCTGCAGCGGAGCTTTTGAAGGGCAAGGATAGCACCAGCATCGAGGACTACGCCCAGGGATGCGAAGTCATGGAGGTCAGCTCCAAGGAGGCCAACGAAGCCACCTATGCCGAATGATATCTTAAACAGAACTTGATTTAGATTAAACATAAATAGCATTAAAAGTATATAGCTTTTTATAGCTGCTGTTTTCGTAGTCATGTTACCTTTTCATGTTTATGTGAACTACCAACACACAGTCCTCAATCATCAGTACAAAGAAGTTAGCTATTCCCTAGTAGTTACCAAGACTTACGTTTCCTCAAATAATTCCACCAATACTATTGCTTTTCACTTCGGTCTGTGTTTAGTCTATTTGTTGAGTGCATGTAATAAGTTTGATTACATTTTTTAAGCAGTGTAATTTAGTTTTTAAAATTTTAATTTAAATTTAAAAGGTTTTAAATACCATCTCACGTACTGTTCGTAAATTGTGCGCTCATTGTGTTGATCGACCAGTTGGTAACACCCCTATTATAAATATTTGCCCAAATAATATTGTCATTACTTAAAAGGCTCTTGGAAATTAGCCCACCTAAAACTGAAATGGTACAGGCAAGGAAACTAAGCTTTTTAGTTGTCAAATTATGCATTATGCGGCGTTTTTAAGGGACTAGGTGCATCTGTTTCAATCTACGTGCCTTATGATGAGTATTTTTTGAGACCCGCTATCAGTCTGACTCAATTGAACCTGAGTCTATAATCACATAATCGCCGAGGAGGCGATAGTACATTTGTTGAGGTTTCGCGGTAACGTGTGCAGCTGGTCAGAATCAGTTCGAAAAAGTCAGTCTCAGAGAGGAGAACACACCGGGGAAGCCGCGGAATACACTTTACCAGGACATAAAAGGACTACCGGAATGCGTCGATCTGTGTTGCTGCTCTTTATCTTCGCCATTGTGCTGAGTGCGGCACTTACTCTGCCCTCAAATCGGAGGACAGACCCTCTATTGGAGCAGCAGGATGCGAACGATAGTGTGGACAGCTCGTTGGAATTCTCTTCGGAGGAGGAACAGAAAGTGATTGTGGACTCCCAGGAACCAGTGGAGTCGGGTGTCAGAAGGCGCAGGTCAGGTGCACGGTACAGGAACTTATATCTCCTGTCATTGATTTGCCCAAATGCTGACTTCAGCGATTTGGAGAAGGGCAGTACCCTAAATTCTAAAATTGAAATATATGATATGTATGCGATTTGTGATACTTTACCCAGGGTCAGGTTTTCCAAAATAAATTAAGGCAACTGAACTTTCAAAAATTCAAAAATTCGTATGAAATCATGTCTATATCAGTAGCACCTTTCTTATCACGACAGCAGTCGTCAAAGTAGCCAGATGTCAGTTTCATGTTCATTTACGCTTTTAAATTTATGGTGTTATTAAGATAACTAAAAATAAAGTTTAAATTCTGGGAATGATTTGTAAAACGCTGTGTTAACCAATGTTATTACAAGCGAGCGTACAATATTTTTATATTTGCAGGCCTCGCAATCAGGCTAAAGAAATTTGTTTAAAAATAAAAAGCACATTTGGTTTTATTATATTTCTTGGCAATTTCTATCGACTAAATGCCGATAGAAATGTCGAAAAACTCAAGAGTTCTTAAATTTCTCTCTTGCACTCCTACTGGCTGTGTAATGGGTATCTGATAGGCGAGGAACTTGACTATAGCGTGTCCTCTTGTTTCTGCGCGAAAAGCTATGCATGTACGCCAAACGAATTTCTTTTTTGTGAAGAACCTTTTTTTTGTGATTCGTGTCATCTGCATTTTGCGCCCTTTCCGGCGTTTTGGGATATTGAAAACTTGGTTCGCCTTTTGCCTACGGTTTTGAGCCCTTGTTTGTCATCATTCGTTATTGTTGGACTTTTGCGACCGATAAGGCACGTTCTGTTCACTCTTTTATGACCACGCCAAGAAAGTGTGTGTACGAACTATTCCTGAAACATGCATACCACCACAGTATACCCTGTGCTAATCGAGATTTTTGTTGTCAGGTGTATGCCAGTTCTTTGGGCATTTCACCAGAAATTTCCCTCACATGGAGCTCTGATTTCCATTGTTGTTTATTTGACAAGCGGAATTCTTTGCCTGTGAGCATGGCACGTTTAAGTTATTTGTTTTGCCTTAAACCTGGTAGTTGACGTGAATCAGAAGGTGTTAACTTTAAAATGGCTTTAAAATGGGATTTAATGGACAAAAAACTAGCTTGATTGCGTAGATTTAATTAATAGTTTCGCAACGCATGATAACTTAATAGTGAGGAGTCATCATTACCACGTGCATTTCCGAATTTAATCTTGTGTGTTTGGGAATATCTTTAATCAGTAGCAAAAAACGCTTCAACTGTTCGAAAAAAGCAACAAAGAATGCAACACATTATCTAAAAAAAGGAAAGGAAAAACAGACCAAGAGGAGCAGAGGAAAAGCGCGAGAGCGAATGGGGAAAATGGAAAGATGCAGCCACAAAGGAAAACTTCTCGAAAATTATTTTAGTTGCCCAAGTCGAGTGCAGTCGTGTGGAAGTGCAAGAGAAGCCACAACATAAAATAAAAGAAATAAAAGAACAGCAGGCATAAAAAAGTGTTAAATACGGTTTCCATAATTATCCCTCATAGTCGAGGTCTTGGTTATTGAAAAATTTCGGAGTTTCCGCACTTTTCACCGCTTTGCAGATCAAGATTTAATGAGTTTGGGGTTGTGCAATGCGTGCCTGCTGATTATATAAGTCGCACAATTGCCCCAGGTTCAGCATTCAACTGGTTCCTTCAGTTTGAATAGAAAGTTTGTGTAGAAAGTAGCCCAGTTTCAGGTTGTGTCGAAAAGCCGGCAAAACTCAAGTAATATTTTTGCACGAGCGGAATTTTGACAGGCGAACGCAAACAAGCAATTGGGCAAAGAGCAACTAAAACTTTTGCACCGCAAAAAAAAAAGAGCAATATAAAAGTAGCAGGATAGAAGAGAAAAGCCAGAGTGCCGCCGGCAAGAGTGCGAATTTATAAATAAAACGAGCGGATAGGAAGAGATCCGGTGTCTCTTCGCCAGAGCACGGGTAAACAAAGCGATGCCGGAACCACTGGGTCTGGTATGGTCCGCGCCGGAGTCCAAGGCGAAGGCGCCCATCATCAAGGTGTCCTGCGGCATCGGCGACACGGACGGCTATCCCGCCTTCGACGTCGACTCCGATGCGTACGCCACCAAGGACGACAGCCGGTGGGGATTCCTCATCACCGGCGGGGCGGAGTTCCACATGCCACTGACAGTCTTCCAGGTGAGTTACATGGGGGGTTGGTTCCTCCTTGGGAGCGGGACCATCTGGTGCCCATAATTGATACAGTCAACCTCAAGCCATTGAAATCTGAACTGTTTTTCTGGTTAACCTTTCTAGGAGAAGAAAAAATATATGTCAAATATTAGGTAGAAATTTAGTAGTAATTAGAAATTAATTTCCCACTTTACTTCGAGCTTATTTAAGAAATACCGAGAGAAGATACTTCATCACCACTAATATCAAATAGACAGTGTTGCTTCATCTCCAGCTCATAATATATTTACACATCATCGGCTTAATTGAATAAAACCTAAAGAGAAGAATATCATTTTTGCTTATGTACATTCTTAGAACATTTTACGGCATATATACCCTTTTAAGCATAGTTAACTGGCGCAAGTGCGGCAGTTTTCACTGTAGCTCTTTCCGCTGCAACTGCTGTTTCGTCATTGTTTCCAATTTTTTGGTTGCGAGCCAGAACGACAACAACCCAACCCACCAGGCAACGTCAAATTTGAATTCCAATTATGCTATGACGGGGTCGCATCGGATGCAAATTGGCTGCCGCGAAATAAAAGCTAGCATTTTATTGTTTCTGGCATCTGCACCTGCCGCGCCCCGTCTTCTGTCTTCTGTCTTCTGTCTTCTGTCTTCGGTCTTCTCTGCCCAGTCTTCGGTCTTCAAGTCTTTTCTAGCCTTTTGGTTGGCGTGTCTCGTCCGCCTGTTTTGCTCTTTTTGGCCCACTTGAGTCTCGAGTGAATGTACAATATTTGGGTTAGCCTCACACCCCTTCCCTTCATGCACAAAATAAATACGCTGGGTGTCATAAAAGATATTTCTCCAATCGATTATCGGATCAATACAAGTAATTCAAGAGTCATATGCAACTGGAGAAATCACTTTGCTATAATAATGCATTGGACATCGGAGTCCCAGCCATTTATATTTGTGTTGTGAAGAACACTTATAAGAATGTGACGCACTGTACCGTATATGTATGCAAAACGATTTCCCATAAGGCAAAACTATTAGTATTGCTTTTGGCTTTTGTGCAACATTTTCCGTTTGACGTTTCGCGTTTAGTCTTTAAGAAAAATATCAGTTTTGTTTTGTTTGTTTTATTTTTGAATTCAAGTCATTTTGAGGGGGACCTTTGAAGAGTTTGATGAACCCAATGCTAATGTGGTTTCGATAGGGCAAATTAATTTACTATATGTACACCTTAATAAGTATTTTTTGCTTTATTTGAGTTCAGCTTGTTTCTTTGCTCCTTAATTCTTACATTTTTACTATGCGTGGAAGGCACATGAATACTCAAGCGCTTTTATTTATATTTTTCAACATACACGTACGTGAGTTTATTAAAGGGTACACACCAAGTTGATTCAGCTTTGTGTCTGCTTTGCTGTTAGATGTTATTGTTTTTTGCATTATTTTTGGGCCATTTTCTTTTGGGAGCAGCCGTTCAGTTAGCTCATCTCGTATACATGTCATCTGTATCTGTCGTTCGCGCATCGCGTATATTTTCTGAACCTAAACTCAAAGTACGCAGATATCCATTCAATTGCGCCTCGAAACTCGCACGGTGCGGTTTTTCTGCTCTTTCATCTGCTGAAAGTGAAAGGAGCTGCCGGGGTTTCGCTTTCGGTATCGGTATCGGCATCGGCATCGCTCTCGATTTCAATCGACATCCTTGTGCTCCTTGCAGGTTACCCCCAACGGCCTGGCCGACAAAGCGGGCATTCGCCTGGGCGACATCATACTCGAGATCAACGAGGAGGACGCCTCGCAACTGACGCTGTCCCAGGCCCACGAGAAAATCAACTCGACACCCAAGAAGATACATTTCCTGCTGCGCAAGTAGGTTGCCCCAGATGCACTTGGCTGCGGTGCGTCTGGGTGGCTTTCAGGCCGTTTAACTTATGTAATGAGCAAACTACTGTCTGCTGTCCATCTCCCCGCAGCATGGAGGAGGACGATCCCATGGGCCAGTTCGAGGCCGGAGAGGAGAAGTCGATTGTGATGCGGGTTCCGAAGCCTTTGCCCCCGCCCAGTGGTGAGTAAATCCCAAATCAGTTCATTCGCCCCCAGCTCCATTCCTTGATTACTCACAGAAAAGTGGTGTTCATTTCATTAATACACCCCAAGTGCAATTAATAATATACGTGTTCGATAAGTAAGTAAGAGGAAGTAGTAGGCCATGAGTAGTGTGAAGCTTATGGTTATTTGCAATTAAAAATATATAAGTAAAATTAAACTTCTTAATCTGATTCAATGAATGCAATACATGATACTTGGGAAATGGAAAAACTCTTTTTAAACGATACTGAAATGTGCTAAACTTTAAGACTCATTTACATCGTGTTTTCGACTTGTCTCTAATATCGGAATTACCTAAAAATGAATGTCATAGGCCCAAGTTGTTTCCTGTGTAGCCCCGAACTCACTTGGCTTTGTTACTTTTTGTAGACTTCACTCCAACCCCCCTGCTTGGCTCGCGTTGTTGGCATCCGATAATGTGGCAAGACCCCCCGGAGCCGCCGAAGCCCAAGAAAAAGAAAACCAAAACGCAGCTGGACGACGAGGGCAACGAGGTGGTCATTGAGCTCAGCGAGGACGAGTCGTCCGACGAGGAGGAGCAGGTGAACCAACCACACGATTGCATGCCAACAACTCTGCCATCGAAATTAACACATTCCGTTTTTCCGTTCTCCACTTTCCGCCGTGTTCTCCATGCCCCCAACCTGTGACCCCCGTCCATGTAATCCTTCCGCGATCCAGGAGCTGCCCCACCATCGCATCATCCGGAACATCCGGCGCTTCTTCGCGGAGGTGGGCGACAACCAGGAGCTGCGCACGAACACCATCGAGAACATGCTGATGTCCCTGCCCAGCGCCTCCAAGGCCAAGTGAGGAGCCGTTCACCCAGCTAACCGGCTAATCCCTGGCAGCAGAAGCTGCCACATCCCTATACCTGCACTGAGAAAAAATGCCAATCAAAAGTTTATACACCCTACCAATATGAGAAAGATTTATATGCGCAGTAAACATTTTGAAATGAAATTTCTTGATATACAATTTCTAGCTGCAAATTACTAACTTGAATCCTTTTCAAGTTAGAGAATGAATCTCAGATAATAAATAGCCCTGATTTAGATGAAGCTTTTCCTCTGTGTAGAGTTCCCTAACTCTTTCAAACTTGTACATAATTTTGAATATTTCGTGTCTGTTTTTTGTCGCTTTAATAAAAAGAAACCCCCTGAAAACCCCCAAATACCACTACTCCCTAATGGATTCCGTTTAGGACGCATACGAGCCAGCTCCATCGAGATGCGTCTGCTGGAGATGCAGCGAAAGTTGTCTGCCATAGCCGAAATACCCAAAATCCTGTGCTCCACTTTGGCCACCGTGTCGCAGAATTTTGGCCGGATGAGTGAATCGGAGGTGGATGAGGACGAGGACGAGGAGGAGGCCTATGTGCAGCGGAAGTTCTCCTACGACGAGGATGCCCTTGACTTTGAGCTGAGGAACGGGGAACAGGCAGGTGACACTGACAGTGACGGGGAGGACTTGGTGCTGGTTCGGGAGAAGGATGATGAGCACGTGGATGTTTCGAAAGGTGCCAAGCAATCAAAGCTGCTGAAGGATGTCACGCCGGAATCGGATTATGCATCGGAAGCCAATTATCCGGCAAATGAGGCAAGCGATGACACGGAATCCGGCGATGAGGATGAGCCCAGCAGCACGGTGTATTTCATGAAACTGCCAGCGGCCTCTGCCGAGGATACGTATTCTTCTACCGAGGACGAGGACGACAGCGATTTCTTGAACACCACCTACACATGGAATCTCCGCAATGTGCCCAAGCTGCGAATCAACGATGCCGAGGCCGAAGGTGAACTGACACTGGGACATCAGGCGAGGGAGCAGCCACGGGAGAAGGAGCCTTGCCTGGAAGCCGAGCCAGCGAAGGTGCGCCCAGCCACGCCCACACCGAAGGCTCCGCCCCAGGAATCCGCCGAGGGGCAGACACAAAAGGTAATGCCACCGCATATTTCAATCAGCCAGTAATTGCTGATGATTCCAAACGATTGCGATTACAGAGAATGGAAAGCGGATATGTTAATGTGTAGTTACCATTTAATATAATAATCTGCAAATTAGTATGGAATTCAAAACACAACTATTTTCTTAAGAATCGCTTGGCCTAACTTATAAGCATATGTATAAAAGCATAACTCCTCTTACAGTTGCTATTCAGACTGGACAAGCTGGAGCGATCCTGGCCCTGGGCAGACCGCGAGAAGATCATATACAAGTGAGTGGTGAACCAGGACACATGCCCATGTAGGAGTACGTACCCCAAATTGTACCCTATTCATTCCAGGCAATCCACTTGCCACTTGGTGCCACGAAAGCCGCTGGGACTGGTGGGCCAGCGAATGCAGCTGCTGCTCAAGGACAAAAAGGAGTGAGCTCGTGAAGGGAGGAAGGGAGGAAGGAGTCAAACCCATGCTAAACAGTTCCTGCCATTAGACTAAGTTTAACCTCAGAGGGGGACAACTCGACGTCGAAGGGTGGTGTGAAGTAGCCAACTTTTAATTGAGTTCATTATGCAAATACACAGGCGACAACAGCAGCCTCGACTTCAGCAGCACTTCAATTAAAAGCCGCACACCCGGGCGTATTCGAAACTCTATTCAAACACGCTTCACACCCAGCCTTTCAGTCGGGTAAAATTTTTAATTAAAGTGCACTCTGCCGTATGCCAAAAAAATCACTGCCAAGTCAAACGCAAGCAGACTCAAAACCAAGACAAAACCACAACCACAACCAAACCCAAGCCCAAACCAAAACTAGACCAGAGCCAAGCTCTTCAACCGGCACTTGCAACTTGGCCAGGTTTATGCATTATTTGTGACCCACCGCACCATAAATTCTATCCGAAGGCAAACGCAATGCACTTATTCCGCCAACAGCAGGACCTGTGAGTCACGCAGGATACGGAAAAGGACGTAGAAGGATGACGGTGCCGAAAAGTGTTCCTCGCAGTTTACTCTTAGTTTTAGAACGCTTGCACACGGTAGTTTCAATTCAGGATCAGGTTATTCTATTATCTATTTCAAATTGTATTTGAACTTAAATTGGTATTTTCGGATGTGGTTCAAATTGTAGTTATTAAACATGTTTTTCTGCTCATATATAAACGACATTAATTGGTGAAAGTTAAATTCAATAAGGAATCGCATCACATTTTTTGAATTACTGATAACTTCCTTTACTGAAAGCTGCTAGTGCAACTTTGTCTTAATTGCTGGCAAGTATGAGTCGGTATGCAACATTGAGTCGGTAAGTGAATGAAGAGCCTTGTTGGCATGCATAACGTAAATGCTTACCCTCCTGCAAAACTCGCATTCGATGGCAGCATGGAAAACAAACAGCTCGGGAATTAAACAGCTCATTTGCCTGCCAGCTGATGGGAAAAGTTTACTCCGGCGGGCGTACGCGGCGTATGAGCGATATCAACCTGGGCGAATACAGCATCGTGTTCACTATGCTTCCGGGCGCGAATAATCTGCAGAATTATGAGTTTCTGTGGGCGGGAGTGTGATAGTGCACATTGTGAAACTGCCACTTATCGCGCACACTTTACATGCATAAAACATAGTGCGCACAATGGGGCAACTGCGAGGACACGTGCCTGCCATACAAACAAAGTGGCAGTCGCAATCACAGCCACCCACAGGGACCCACTGCCACCCACTGCCACCCACTGCCACCCAGTGGCACTTGCAGGGACGTCATTATGAAAACCACCAACGGAAAGTCCTCAATAAGTGTCAACAAATGTTGACAGCACTGCAATGAGCTTTGTTGCCGCGGAATGTCCTGGCGGCCAGGATACGATTTCAGTCAGGTCGTCGGTGGGTTTACGTGAGAATAGCTGTCTCTGGATTCTAAAATCTCTAAAGTCAGTGGGCAAACTTGAAAGGCAAGGGAAAATACCATTCATTTATATAAAACTTTATTTAGAGACTTATGAATCTGAATATTAATAGTATTTGAATTTACTATACTGACGGTGCTTTAAATTACATATTTCAAAGAACAAAATGAGCTACAATTGAGCAAGAATCCTATGGAAATCGTGTATTTAGCTGGAACTTCCACTGTGAATGTGCAAACCGTATTACTCACCCGTAGTTACCAACTTAGCACCCACCATGGCCCACCTCTCTATTGTGCCAATTCAAAATAGTTCAGCATTGTTTTTAGTGAAGCCCAGCAACTCTCGTTGGACACCAATATAAATTAGGCTTCATGTTGTGGCACAAACAGGTTTGCCTCAAATGGAATTCGGAAGCACCTGTTGTGCTTTCATCACCAGGCTGGATAACCTGGCCAACGTCCATGGGCACGCAGCGGAGCAGGGCTAACTTCAAATGGCATTCATTAAATGGGCATTAGGTCCGCACTGGTATGAGGTTGTTGCTGCTGTTGACAGACCCACCCAGCCCCAGATACATTAAACAAACTGAAAGTTGACTAATTGGCAGAGGAGAGCAGAGCCAGAGGAACTCGGAAATGCATAGCATACGTAGATATAATTAAAATTTTATTACATTTGCGTACATTCATAGACACACTAAAAGCGATTGCCAGAAAGCTCAGCTTACCACAGAGAGAGAGAGATATATATATTGGGGGCAGGGAGTGGGGCACTAGTCCTAGGATACACTTAACACTTAAGACAACAATGATATTTAATATCCACGTAAATTCTTACATTCATAGGTACAATAAATATGTTCTCATTCAAGTGGGTCCGTTGCCGGCAAAAGGCTGAAATTTATTCCGAATTTCGCATTTCGCTTTTCGCATTCTAAGGAAACCAAGGAGAACTGCGGTTTATACTATTGAAACTTAACATTTAGCATGGCGCAAATTGTGGCAAAATATACATCTGCCTTGCTGGCCAAGGAACTTATTCTGGGTGCCTTGAAGTTCTCCGAAGGATTCGTAGCAATATCTCGGGTGCCTCAAAATAGACTATAAAATATGCAATACAAAAATGTAGGAGAAATGCAAATTTAGTTAATGAAATCGTTACTTTTAAGGTTTTAGCCGCGAGTTTTTAACGGCAGTGCCTCTGAACATTTAACAACAATGGCACAAGCAACTAAAAGCTGTGCCTCACAAATTTAATGTGAAATGACAATAGACACCCGTTCGATTATTTTAAAAACTCAAGGTAATTCAGGAACATGCCTGGCGATACTAACTGGATTCAATGGGCTGTAGCTTTTGGTGGGGTTTGGTTTTTTGGGTTCTTGACCTGCTTTTGGTTTTGGTATAACTGTGGCTTAGACTATGAGATGTTGTGTGACTCGAGAGCTAAACCTAAAGTGCCTCATCGGCCATGTGCTGTTGGCCGGCTCTCTCCATGCGAACTATGACAGTGCCCATGCCATTCGGATGGCCCTCCTCCGCCCCATTTGCTCCTGCTCCTGCTGCGGATGTTGCTGCTGCGTGCGAAGTTGCTGCCGCTCCTGCCTCAGCAACATCTTCTGCAATGGTCGTCATCAATGTCGGCCTGTCGACGGCACCTGGCGCGGATTTGGCCTGGCCAGCGGCCTCTCCGCCCTCCTCCATGAGTGGCTGGCTCTGGCGCGAGTGGTCGATGGTCTGACGGCGTTTCCGGAACGGCAACCGGTCGCGCCAGCCGTCCAGGAAGGACGACGAGCTCGCCAGGCTCTGGCTGCGAGCTCTCTGCTGCTCCGAGGACAACTGGTGGCTCTGGTGACTCTGGTGGTGGGGATGGTGGTGTTGGGGTCCTGCGGAGGCGCGTCGCTTGGCCGACATGTCCTTTAGTCATACCTTCTCCTCTCCTGGCAGTGGCGGTCCGCAGCGCACGAACTACAATCAAAAGAACTGAGAATTTGCTATCATGGTGGTTGGCCAGTTGGCAACGGTGCGTCGGTTTCTGTAACTGTCTCATGTATCTTTTGCTTTTACTGCTCTATTTCATTTTAGCTTATGTTTTTCTTAGTGTTTGTTGCATGCGATTAATTCGGTTCTATAGGCCAATAAACTGTGAGTGCTTAAGTGTGCTACTGCTGCTGCATTACTCATACGCGCCGTAACCCGTGGTACAATATTAGCACAGAGAAAGGATGGGGAAAAGCATGTGAAGCTTTAGTACAAATCTTACCGAGACCTGAGTGGCTGTGTAGGAATTGGTCCGCGGTCGGTTGCTGAAGCACATCATCCGCCACTTGCGCTTCATTTGGGCAATCACCTCGCCGTTGCAAAAACAGAACAAAGTGGCCACGCACAGACCCTGCAAAAATAGAATGGAACTGGGATGAGCAGGCTGGCCAAATTATCATCGCGGCTTATCGCAGTTGTCCTTATGGCAGCGCCTATCGCCTTCGTCCCTTTTGTACCCTGCAGTCGGGTATTCCCGGTATCTGGCTATCTCGAGATCTCAAGGTTTATACGGACGGACAGATAGACAGACCGGCGGACAGAATGTATACACCTTATAGGGTCAAAGGCACAGATAATAAACTTTCCAGGGTATGGCTGTAGGCGACACTCCCCATTTTGTATAGCTCTATTTTCTTGTTTGTCCCGAGTCGCTCCTAATACAATACATAATAGAATTTTGCTTGTTCCTTGGCTATTCCACCGTCCTGCCACCGAAATGGCCCAGTATTCATTTCGCCTGTCAGACGGCCACTTCAACGGGCCGTGAGTCCTTCGTCGGCTCCTCCACTCCGATGCGAGCCCACTGTTTGACATTTGTCCTGCCACTTTCTGCCTGATTGTTGCAAGCGGCGTTTGCGGGGGCCATATATATATGTAAATATTTAATGTATGGTTGGGTACGTGCATTGACTGCCGCCTGGATTTCTGGTTAGCACTTCGGAACGGGGATTCTTTTGATTGCCACTACTCACGGAGACCCATCATGGACTCAATCAGCCACAGTTGGCATACATTTACTCCTCTGTTTCTGGCTGCCTTTCCATAATCAAAATGGGGTTTTATAACCTCTCACAGCATATTGCATTGAAGACATTTGTTGTTTGATTGCAAATGAACCACTTCTTTCAGGACTAGAATTGATTGTCTCCACTTGAATTGGTAGACTCTATCCTTACCCAAAGTGTATCTGTATCTGTATCTGTATGTCAAAGTGTATCGTACTGAACATTTTAGAATAAAATTCTCTTCCTCTATGTAACCCTCTAAAAATGCATTTTTATCTTTTTCTGTGCGGAGCGGGGTCAAATGTTTTGTTTTGCTAGAGAAAAGTTCATATTTTTCTAAAGTTATTTACTTATTTGTGTATTGCTGACGCTGCGTACATTGTTCCTGTTTTCTTTCTAGCAGTTTTAGTTAGTAACCACAGAACGGATGACCAACATGTACTACATGTACCAAAATATAACCACGATCTGGGTTTATTAAATGTTTTCATTTATTTTGCTGCCCTTTTTCCTTTTTGCCTTCCTCCTTTCTGTTGCCCCATTTATAAAGCTTCCGGATGAACTATCTTTCTTTGTCTGCCAGTTTGAGCCATTAAGTGCTAGCCGAATAAAGTTTGAGGTGGATTAATGTTTTTTCAGCGGACTTTATGCGTTTTTCTAAAGTTTACTTTATTCCCTAGCTTAATTACACACAGAAGTTTATTATTATAGCACTGAATTTTATTTGATTTCCACAAAGCCTGTTTAATAAGAAGCTTAAGTAAGCCAATTAGTTGATTTAAAATATTTGGCAAGAAGTCAAGAGCATGCCAAGCGAATTTTATATAACGATTCGGTTGACATCTGACGTTTGTTTTGGACTTTAACTTTCTGCCAGGCGAAAGTTTTTAATTCAATTAAAGTGGAACGTGCTTAGTCCACACATCTGCTAAATACAAATGTGCATAAGCTCTAGGGGGAAAGCAGAGGAAAATCTCTGCGGAAAAGCGGAAAACTCGCAAGCGGACAAATGCCAATTGCAGCAAGTTTCGCATTTGGGCACCAAAACAACCAAATAAACACATTTACATGCATATAAATTCTCGTCTTTGGCTAAGTAGTTTCGGTCCTTACCATGTCCCTCGTATACAAATCCCCCGGCACCCGACTCAAAAATGATTTGATACTCTTTCCGGAGCTTAAAACGGAGAATCCTTTACGACTGCCGACATCATCAGCACGGTG